TTTATCAGTTTTTTTGTAACGATAATATACATTATATTTATATTGTCTTCAAAAGAAAGTAGCAGAAACAGAAACAAAATAAGAGTAAATGTGTAATGTCATGAACTGAAAGAATGAATAACATACTGAAATATATCAATGATAGAATACATAACTGAACAGACGTATGGGGAGTGAAATGAGGAAGAAATCGTCGAAATGAACAAATCAGTATACAGATGAATACTGAATAAATGAATAAACTGCGAGATTGGAAAACATGTTAGTGGCGTGTTTTATATGCTTCGAGGCTTGGAACATCTTTCTCTATACTTTGAGCATCGAATTTTGTTTAATTACTTCTGCCAAGGAGGTTATGTTTTAGTTGATTTGTTTGTTTGTTCTAAGCACTATAACTCAAAAAAGTATGTGTGTGGTGTGTGTGTGTGTATGTGTGTGTGTGTGTGTGTGTGTGTCTATACATATATATGATATATATAGTATATATATATATATATATATATATATATATATATATATATATATATATAATAATATATATATATTAGATAGATAGATAGATAGATAGATAGATAGAAGATAGATTAGATAGATAGATAGATAGATAGATATAGATAGATAGATAGATAGATGATAGATATAGATAGATAGATAGATAGATATAGATATATAGATAGATAGATAGATAGATAGACAGATAGATAGATAGGTAGATATGTATACACACACATTCAAGGAAAAAAAATTGCATTCGCAGTTAACTCACTTGTACTTAATTACCTGTATTTTCTCTGCTTAATATTGTAGATTCATTTTCTAATGCAAGTTTTATATACCTTAATAAGACAATTAAAACTACATTCTTGGAAAATTAATTGTAATGCAAAGCTTACTTATGAACTTCATGATAACTGATACCGCCATGATTATTATTGTCATTATCATTATAATTATTATTACTATTCTTATTCTTCTTCTTATTCTTATTCTTATTCTTCTTCTATTATTATTATTATTATCATTATTCTTATCTATACTATTTTCATCATTATTATTATTAATATCATCATCATTATTATTACATTATTATTATTATTATTATTATTATTATTATATTATTATTATATTATTATTATTATTATTATATTATTATTATTATCATTATTATTGTTATCGTTATTATATCATTACTATTTTCATCATTATTATTATTAATATCATCATCATTATTATTATCATTATTATTATTATTATATTATTATTATTATTATTATATTATTATTATTATTATTATTATTATTTTATTATTATATCATTATTATCATCATCATCATCATTTTTATTATTATTATTATATTATTACTATTATTATTATTGTTATCATCATTATTATCGTTATTTTATTTTCATTATTGTTGTAATTATTAATATTTCCATTTTCATAATAATCATTTCTGCAATTATCATTATTGACTCTAGTAATGATATTGATAATATTTCCATTGGTTAAACTGTTACTGTAATTATCTCTTTGTCGTCTTTACTTTAACGCATTTTTCTTGTTTCACAGCAATACAATTCGTAATCACTATCCTCATTACTAATTTCAGTATTGTTATTATTGTCATTATTATCTTTTATTTCTAAACAGTGTTATTATCTATTTCTTTTCTTTCTATTGTTATTTTGTTACATTACCTTTTATTTATTTATTTATCTTTATCGACATCATTACCATCATCACCGTCATCTCATTATCCTCACTTTTATTTTCGTGTTGCTTATGTTGCTAAATCTTTATTTTCAGTCTCCGTTTATTGGCAAATTTTTCATTATTTATCATTACAGCAGCTAACACGTGTTGTCATTATTCTTATTATCAATGTTATTATTATTATTATTATCATCGTTATCATTACTATGAATATCATTATTATTATTATTATATTCATTTATTATCACAATGATAGTAATAATGATGAATTTTATTATTATAATCATCATGATTATTATTATTATTATTATTATTATTATCATCATTATTATCATTAATATCATCATTATTATCATTAATATCATTATTATATTATTATCATTATCACCATCATTATTTTCATTATCAATATCATTATCATTATAATATTTTATTATTGTTATTATTATTATTATCATTATCACTATTATTATTGTTTAGATTATTATTAGTAGTAGTATTAGTATTATCTATATTGTCATTATCGTCATTATCCTTATTATCATATCATCACCATTATTATTATTGTTAATTATTGTTATCTTTATCATCATTATCATTACTATTGTTATTACAATTATTATTATCATCATCATCATCATTGTTATCAAAATCATCAAAGTGAACTCCTTTCACACTGAATAGTGTTGTAAGCAAAATCCCCCCCCCCACCTCACCCCTACCCCAAGCACACGCACACACACTGTTTGTACAAGCACTCTGTACACTCCCCGTCCGGTCTTTGGCTCATTGTACCACTTTGCCTACAAGGACGAAAAATACACTCTGTACACTCCAATGGTCGGGTCCTTTCTGTTGACCAAAGGGTGATACAACGAAGTCCTCTGCACTATTAATTGCAACATTGAAATTGAGGAGGCTTGTGCGTTGTGTGTTTCTGCTGCAATAGGAAGACACGACAAGGTGGTGTGTGTGTGATAGATGATGATATATATATATATATATATATATATATATATATATATATATATATATATATATATATATATATATATATATATATATATATATATATATATATATATATATATATATATATATATATATATATATATATATATATATATTATATATATATATATATATATATATATATATATATATATATATATATATATATATATATATATATACATATATAGATATAATATATATATATATATATATGTATTGATATATATGTATATGTATAAATATGTATGTATGTATGTACACACATACACACACACAACACACACACACACACACACACACACACAGCACACACAAATATATATATATATATATATATATAGGTATATATATATATATATATATATATATATATATATATATATATATATATATATATATATACATTTATCCATTATCTATATATATATTTTTATCTTAATATCTATCTATTTACATTTCATTTTCGTACAAATCAATGCTACGAATAAAGGAGAGTCCTGGACCAACGGAGTCTCCCGGACCTGTGTTCTGAGAGTCCAAGGCGAGCGTGAAGACTTATGGTCGATCAATGAACGGATGAATAAGCGAGGAGTTAATGGCTGGGACACGAACGACGGTGAACATGGAGCCGAATTGCGCAAAACGAGCTTCTTGTGTCTTGTTTCTGTCTGTTTATTGTGTCAAATGTTATCATTATTATCATTATTGTTACAGTTATCATTGTTAGTTATTATTATCATTATTATCATTATTGTTATATCATTTTTATTATCATTATTATTTTTATCATTATTATATTATTATTATTATTATTATTATTATTATTTATTATTATTATTATTAATTATTATTATTATTATTATTATTATTATTATTATTATTATTATTATTATTTTTTATTATTATTATATTATCTATATATTATTTTATTATTATTATCATTATTATTATTATAGGGATTTTGATTATTATTTATTTTATTATTGTTCCTCATTACTTTTATCATTAATATTTTAGTATTATCAAAATCATTATTATCATTATCAATATTATTATCTTCATCAACATCATTATTGTTGTTGTTATCAATATTACCATTATTACTATTATTACTTATCGTTTATTTACTTACTCTGTGCCAGAGTGCTGTAATATTCACTGCAGGTAAATATTAAGGTAATTTCACAAGATATATAACTGGTTTCTTGAGAGAATATCTGTTATGTTATCTTTTATTAGGATTAATGACTTGAACTTGTGTTGAATTCAGAATATACTGTGAGGCTGAAGAGACCCTGCTGCCCGCACAGCTTTAAATTACCGATGGTCTAAATTGTGTTAGACTTCAGTGTTGTAACTTTTCTATTTCTATGCAAATTGAGCTATTATTATGAAAATACTCTGAGCCCAAGGATTTGTCTTTAAGCCTAAGTATTATCACGTGGCCCCTTATCAATAAAAAATAAACCACTGACTCCTATATCATAATAACAAAATAATAAGACAAATTGACAAGAATAGTAATCAGAATAACCACAATTAAAAATAATCAGTGATTAAAAGAATCCATATTTCAGCAACAAAGTTATAAGACAAATTGACAAGAAAAGTAATCAGAATAAGCACAATCAAAAATAATCAGTGATTAAAAGAATCCACATTTCAGCAACAACAAAATTATAATTAATTGACAATAAAATATACACCAAAATACACACCAGACAGCACACTGACATCCATGGCGAGAGATTGAATACAATATTAACAGCACGAAAATCTTATGTTAAAATTATACCACAATTATGATGTCCGGGTAAAGAATGGTGGACCTCGTGTGACGTAAATAATATGGTGTTCTTAGTTCCTGTCGCTTCTAATGCTTATGTGTCTGAGTTATTAATGGGGGAAGGAAAGTGCGATACGTGAAGGGTAATGGGAATAATAATGGGAAAGTGTGGATGTAAATATGGATGAATATGATGAGTATATCGAAAATGATGATAATAAAAGTAATGTTTTTTGTGTTGGTAGAAATGATTAAAAATATCAAAAACAGCAAAAATTACAATAATACAAAATGGTAATTATGATAATATCACTAATAGTTATTAATAATTATGATAATATTATTAATGGTTATTATTATCTGTATCATCTCAAACCAAACACACACCTCAACAAAATGAAAGATATGAAAAAAACACAGTGAATATCTATCTCTATAAAAGCTTAAAATGCTACACTTTTTCTACTTTTATGTATAAAAATAATA